CTGGCTCAGATTCTGCTCTCCACAAAATCTTTTCAAGTCTGTCTAGTTATTTCAGTTATTTGGGCTCTTCTGATTGGATACCGAAGCCTCTGCAATAGCTTCTCGGGATCCTGTCCTGTTTATTCACCGTTTGTGGGCACATCTCCTAGCTCCATCTTAGTGGCAGCCCCTCGTGACCCAGAGCTTTCACATTCATTTCTTGAGTACCAGGTGCGCTAGGGAGAAGCACGCACCTCGGCGGCCGTGGGCTTTCCTGAGCTTGGCACTGTGAGTCCTGCCAGGTGCAGCCCCAGAATGCACGTGGCAGAGCGTGACTCAGTGACATTGTGAGAACTTCTGAAGAGCCTTTAGGAAGAAGTTTTCAAAGATTTCTTCAGTATCTTTCAGTATGGCCCTTGACTTCATATTCTCTGCAGTTTTAAGGTTAAACTGAGATTATGTGTTAACTCCCACCCCCACCTCCGTATCTGCATGTGGAAGGGAAGATTTGCTTGAGAATTCTGTGCAGATACCAAAAGTTGAGGATTCTCAGAATAATTCTACCCAGAAGCGTAGTATTTGCGCATAACCTTCAGATATCCTCGCACACACTTTAAATCATCTCCAGGTTGCTTACAATACTCAAAACAATGCAAATGTTGTATAAATAGCTATTACACTATATTGTTTACGAATAACGACAGGGAAAAAGTCTGCACATGCCCAGTAAGGATGAAATTTTTCCCTTATGTTTGTGACCATAGTTCATTTAATTAGCAGATGGGAAACCCACAAATGTGGAGAACCAATGCACCATGGAAGTATTTGAGGCTATTTCTTTGATCATCTTCTTATAGCCCTTAAGGTGGAGTACTTTGAATACTAGACAGATGATTCTTAAAATACAGGCCAATTTCAGAAGATGAGAGGGAGACATGCTGCTGGAAAGGGTTGAGTAGGAAAGCAGCAAAAACAACCTTGGCCTATATTAGTCTTTATTAAAATGCCACCAGATTCATCCTTTGTTTCATAAACTGCATGTAATTATAGTATACAAAACCTCCAGATCTTCCTGCTATTAAGAATTTAAAAATATCTGTTCCAGATTTCCAAAATAAGTTTCTCATGTACAGTAATTATATCACATAAAATGTGCTATACTTAAAATTATGTTTATTATAGCATCTTAAATTTAGACTGCCTCTCTTAGGGTTGATTTAGTCATCTCTATGATGTTGCCTTATTCATTTCCTATCAGGAGAGAAAGCAATTCTATTTGACTGGAAATTCATGGGTGCTAGGTAGATACTTGCCTCAGCAAAACATTCTGGAAGAGAAATAAGAAAAATGTCTACAGAACAGTGGGACATTTCCACATTTTTCCAACCTTCATTGTTGAAATAAATCTCCAGGATCTGCGGAAAGTAGCAGACACTGCCAGGGCTTGCC